CCCCCCCGGGCTCCGCCGGAGAAGTTTCTCCACCGGGAGCGTCCGGCGGGGGGGACGCGCCGGTTCCCGCTCCTGCCGGTGCGATGGGAGCAGCGCGATGGGGGGACCCGCCACCCGGGGGGGATCCCGGGCGGGGCGAGTCCTGCGGCGGGTCCGGTGCGAGGAGCTGAGCTTGTCCCCGGGGATGGGATTCGGTCCCCTCGGTGACCCGGAGCCCCTTCCCGGTGGCACAGCAGGGAACCGGGTCACCGTCCCGCTCTGCCGCTGTCCCAGGCCGGGGTCTCTGAGCCTGGGAAGACCCTCAAAGGCAGGAGCCCCCCGAGGGGTGACCAGCAGGTCTGGGTGGGAGCAGGGACCCTCTCCTGTCCTGCGTTGGGACAAGGCAGAAGTGCCAGCCCAGCACCCCCAGACCCGAGTCCAGGTGGGATGGGGGGGACAGTGGGGGTGTTCTTGTCCCTGCTGTACCCCGGGAGCTGTGCCCGTTCCTGGGTCCCCAGCACTGGAACATCCCTCTCCAGAGCTGGAGCCCAGGATGCTCCCAGGAGCACACCTGCTCCCTGCCCTGCCCAGTGTGTTTTCCCAGGCACTGTGGTGCTGCTCCAGCTTTCCCTGCTGGATTTGAGCATCCAAAGGCTCTTGCCAAGCAAAAGCTTCTCCAAGATGAGCAGGCTCAGCTCAGGGCTGGGGAGCAGCTTCAGCCCCTCGGGGTTGTTTCCTCAGGGGGCTGTACTGGGGCTGCAGAGTTGGGGTGTCCATAACCCACTGGGAGGCTGTGGAGAGAGAGGGAGGCTCCGTGCTGGGGGGTTATTTTGGATTTCCCAACCTCTGACCCCCCACTCTGCTCTGGTGGCAGCGCTGGGACACCACGGGGACACTGCCAGGACATCACTGCCCCGGCCATGGGGAAGGAGGCGTTTTCCCTCTTTGCCTGGTGTGTGCCAGGTGTGTTCGTGGTGCCGTGGGCTCAGACCCTCTCTGAGAACGTGAGCCCAAATGTTGCCTCCTTCCCTCTCCCCCCGGCGCTGCGTCGTTCCCGGGGTGCGCGTGAGCTGGAGCTCGTTAAGAGGCAGGAAAATGGGTCTTGCCTAAGTTAGCACATCGAGCTGGCAGGATGAATTTGTCACTGGATAAAAGGGCACCTGAGCTCCCCGGGGAGCCGCGAGAGGAGCCCGGGGCCCATTTGTAACGCCTGCGACACCTCCGCAGTGGGCGCCCGCCAGAATTCCTGCGTGGAAAATACCACCCTTGGAAGAGCTTCTCCTGCAAGGACTTAGAGATGGCAGCCAAAGCCCCTGCCAGGGGAGGGAATCAGACTTTATGGCGTAGGTGCTCAGGGGCTGTGGAACAGAGATGCTCCCGCTCGTCTCACAGCGGGGCCGTGCGTGTCCTTCACCGGTTCGTCCTCGGGATCTGAGCGTGTTTTGCCCCAGAAACAACCCAGCAGCTCCTCTTGCAGGGCCCACCAAGCCCCTCCAGACCCTGCTGGGCCTGGCCCCAGCTCTTGGGTGAGGGGCTTTGTCCCACAAGATGTGCAGCCATCAAGAGCAGGAGCAAATCACCTTCAGCCTTCGCTGGGGAGGGTTTGTGTTCACTTGCTCACTTAATTTTAGGGCCGAGGCAGCTGCAGGGCAGAGTCCTGCCAGGGACCCCCCGAAGCCTGTGGGAAGACGCCGCAGTGGGTGCAAGGTGTGGACATCTGTTCTGTGAAAGCCTTCCCTGTAACTGCTGCTCATTTCTGGCTCCTTCCAAGTTGTGTTGTGGGGTTTTTTTTTCCTCTCCCGCAGCAGATGGGAGCTGCTAAGCTGTTGCAGTGGTGTTGAAGTTCTCAGGGATGATTTGTGTGCCTCGATACCTTTGTCTTTTTTTTTTCCTACAAAAGAGGAAGGAGGTGTTACCCCCACCCGGGGGGTAACTGAGGCAGGGGGTGGGATGGAGCCCCCGGCCCGAGGTCGGGGCAGTGCTGGGGGCAGAGCTGTCCCTGAGTGGCGGCTGCGCTGCCTCCCCCGGGCAGCCTTGGCTCCGAGGCAGGGCTGGGAACTGCTAAAATGGAAATACCCGCTGAGAAGTGACGCGCTTCCCTCCCCGGAGCAGCTCAGGGCTGGGAGCAGGAGCCGGGCTGAGCCCGTCCCGTTTATTGACCGACTTCAGCCTCTTTCTGTCGGCAAATTGATCCCAAACGACTCCTTGAGCCAGCGCCTGCTCCGGGCTGGGTGGTTTGGTGGCTGCACCATCTCTGCAGCCCCTGAGCCTGCTGCCAGCTCTGCCTGGGGGTGGTGTGGGCAGGGGTGCCCGTGCAGATGGAAAGCCAAGGTTCTGAGGTGTGTGGAGTTGGCTGACCACCTCCAGCCCCTCCAGCCCCACGCTGACCATGGCACAGCCACGCTTGCCAGGCTCACAAAGCCGCGTTTTGCTTGGAATGAGACTTTCTAGCCCCGGAGCTTATGGAGGAAATCCAGGAGCGAGCCCAGAGCATTAACGGAAAGGCTTTAGAGCCAGAAGGCAAAATATCAACTTCTTTTTCCAATCTCCTCCTCTTCAGCAAGCGGGAAGGCTGTTCCCTGCTCCCAGCAGAGCTGCCGTGGGCTCCTGCCCTTGGCATGGGCACGGCTGTGTGTCCCGTTGGCGGGGGCTGCCCTGCCAAGGGGTCTCCTGCAGCCTGGAGCTGCACCACCCAGCTGTCCAGGTGTCCAGTTCCAGCTGTTCCTGCTGCCCACTGTGGCTTGTCCCTGCAGCAACCCCTCCTCACCCACCAGGCCCCCCCACGGCGGCTCTCGGTGCCATCCGGGGTCTGGGAGCTTGTGTTGGTGGTTATGAAACTGCTCCTGGGTGCACCAGGAGCTCAGCTCAGCACTTTTCCCGTTCCTAGAGGAATGCTTCCATACAGAACAGTTTAACCTAGAGCAAATTAGGGAAGACTGAGCCAGCAGCACCAGCAACAACTGCAATCCCCTGCCTGGAGCAGTGTCCCCCCTGCCAGGCCTGGTCCCCTGCCTGTGCTGTTGGTGGCACCTTGCCTGGGTTTTATTTGCCTTGTGGAAGTGTCACCCTGTGCCTGGGGCAGGAGGGGACAGGAGCACAGAGCTCCATCCTTGTCCTTGCTGCGTGTTTGGTGCCGTTGGATCCCCATGGACGTCGTGGGGACAGAAGGGTGGCAGGTCCTGTCAGAGCCCCGGTGCAATCCTGGCACTGGCTGGGTGATGCCAGGCAGGGCTCTCCTTGGCTCAGGGCTGGCCAGGCACCTTGGGGCCCTGGGAAATCCCAGCTGGCTCGGGGCAGCAGGACAGAGGGGGTGGGATGTGTCCCCTGTGCTCTGGGCAGGGACCAGGGTGCTGGCAGCTCGTCTGTCCCAGAGCATCCCTGTGCTCGGATCCTGTTATGGCAGAGGGCTGAGGTGGGCAGAGGGTCTGTCACCCCCACTTTTGCATCCCCTGCCTCGTCACACCCCTCCACCATTACTTGCAGAGTAGGAAAGCCCTTCCCTGCCATGCTGGGGATGCCACTGTGGTCACTGCCCACAGCAGCCCCAAATCCCACCCAGGACTGTTCAGAGGGCTGGAGCCCTGGCTGGTTTGCAGGGAAGCTGCTCCATCCCTCCTCGGAAAAACCTCATTTCAAACTCCAGGCTTTTAACTTGTCCCCCCCAGGGCTGCAGGGGTGCCACGGCCACAAACAGAGGGGCTGGAGGCTGTGCCCCCTGTGCCCTCTGAGGGCTGGTCCCGCTCACCTTTCCTGGGTTTGAAACGGGAGCTGGTTTGGGGGCAATGCCAGCGGGAAGAGGAGCAGGCACAGCACTTTCCCCAGGCCCTGCACGGTGTCACCGGGGCATAAAATTAAGCGGCTTCGGCGCAACATGAAACTGTGCATTGATTTTCCTTCCTGGCTTTTTCCCTTTTCCCATTTTGCTGCTCCTGTCGGACCCCCCCAGCCCAGCACGGGAAGTGCCAGTTTGGGCACCCCGGTGGTGAGGATGGGATGTGAGCCCCGTTGCCAGGGGGTGCAGGGGTGGTGCTTGGTCACCCTGGAGAGCTTTTGGATCTTTGTTCCCCCCCCGACAGTGACCCCCGGGGTGAGGCCCCAAACCTGCCCCCTCTGCCTGTGGGTGCTCCTACCCTCCGTGTTTTGGGGGTCCCAGCCTGCCTGGACTTCTTGGGGCCGCTCATGTCGCTGCACCCCAAATGTTCCCATCCCTCCCCGGGTGCTGGAGGAGGGTGCCAGCCCCAATCCCTCTGCCAGGGTGCAAGGCCCAGCGGGCACAGGAGGTGCACTGGAAAACACTCTGGTTTCTTTCCCCCCCCTCCAGCCCAGCTCTTTGCCAGATGATTCAAGAGCAAAACTATCTCGGCTGCTCCGTGTGAGTGTCTTGGCACCATCCACAGGAGCCTTGTGACCGTGCTCCCCGTGGGGACCATGGGGCCGGGGGGCTGGGGGGTGGCACTGGGGTGCAGACACGTGCCATGCCAGCGTGATGGACAATGCCATCAGCAGGATTTGGCTCCCAAAGAACAAAGGTGTTGTGGGGCCACGGGCTCGTGTGTGCTGTGGGACGTCATCTGGATGTCACCCTGCTGCCGTGGGTGCTGCCGGGTCCCTGCCATGGGACGCAGCCTGAAGACAGGCTCTGCATCCCAGCTCTGCTTCCAGCCTCTGTCAGGGCACTGGGAACACCCCATCCTGCCTCACCCCTGGCTGTGGGGGCGAGGAGGGCTCTGGGAGCAGTGCCCTTCCTCTGCTGCTGCTGATAACCGGGCCGGGGCCGGGCTCTGAGCGTGTACTGGGGTTTGTGGTGTCAGAGCTGCAGCGGGGCTGGACGGCTCCCGACTCCAGCTCTGGTTTCCCTGACCGTGGGGAAACACTCGGAGCTTTTCTGCTTCTCTTCTTCGCGGCGTGGGACGGACCCTGCCATGGTTACGGGCGCAAACAGGGCCGCTACACCCCGGTTATTTATATCCCCTGGAGCAGCCAGGCCTCCTGCTCCACCTCTCCTGGAGGGCTGCTGGGGCGAGGGATGGGGATTTATGGGACACGCTGTTTATACAGCTGCAGAGGGTGCTCGGGGAGCTGGACCTCGCGGGATGGGGAGCCTGGAGGGTGAAGCACCATCCTCGCCCCCACCAGAGCCGGGCTCGGGCAGTTTTGCTCTAAACAGGCGTTTCCAGTGGTGGCACAGCTGTGGGTGCGGCCCAGGCACCGTGAGGGGGCCAGGCTTGGCCAGGGAAGGGAGTCGTGCCATTCCTGAAGCCTGTCTGCTCGCTCATCCCATGGCTGGGCTGTTTATCCTGCGGCGTGTGGTGTTTTCCTTCCGCTGAGTTATCACCAGGCACTGCCCGTGCCCCGGCTCGGGGCTTCCCCTCAGGGCAGGGCAAAGCGGGGGCCGGGCCAGCCCTGCCGGGGCACGGGGCACCCAGTGTCACCCCCGTCCCCGTGCTGGGGGACACAGCTGGGGGGGCTGTTCCAGCCCCGTCCCACCGCACAGGCCCCGAGGATCGCGGCCCGTTGGCAGCGGGTGCCAGGGCACAGCTCGTCCCCGGCTATACCAGGGGGCAGCTCGTTTGCCCAGCAGTGTTGGGGTGGGCACTGGGTGCCAACCTGTGCCCCCTTGCCCTGCCCAGCACAGCTCTTCACCATCCGGGGCCGACTTGGCCCTGCTTCTCCTGAGCTCAGCAGCTTTCCCAGCTCACCTGTTCCTCCGCCGGCTCGGGAAGCAGCATATGGCAGAGTCCACTCTAATGAAGATTAATGGGAGGAGATTCACCTGCTCCGAGCCGGGCCCCTGCCGCGTTTTAATTATTATTTTGGGGAGGAGTGTTGCTGCAGACGGGCTCTGCTCCTGCCGGGTGGCAGCAGCCGGAGGGGCCCGTCCCTGTGCCCAGGCTGCTGGTGGCACATCCCGTGGCACATCCCCTGCCGTGCTGGCAGGGAGGGGTGTGGGACTCTGCGGGGAGGGGGCTGGAGATGGGAAGTTTATTGGGGAGAGGTGAAACAGTGGCTCAGTTACACCAGCATCTGCTCCTTCCATTCCCCGGGATGCTGGAGCAGGGGAACGGGGAGACAGCGAGGCTCCTGCCGGGTGCTATCCTACTATTTCTGCCCTCTCCCCATTTCCCTGGCGGTGTTCCTTGTTTTTTAAGCCCCCTTGGTAGGTGGGAAGAGCAGTGAATTGGCGTGGGGAGCCTGGTGCTGCCGGCACACCGTGGTCTTTGGCGGAGGGGTCGGTGTGGGATACCCCCCTTGTAGTGGGGTGGAGCTGCTGAGAGCAGCATTCCTGCCCCGGAGGAAGGGGGGAATTCTGGTTCCCGGCTCCCCGCGCCGCCTTCAGGCATCTGACCCTTCCCTAAGCCGCTTAGGCGCTGCCGGCGGCCGGGACGGGGCGTTTGCCCAGGCTTTACGAGTTAATTCCTAGCAGGTGATGCGTTCCCAGGAAGTTTTCTTTCCCAGCCGGCCCCGTGGGGCCTCTCATGCCTGTATCCTTCCCCAAATCCCGCGGGATGCCGAGGGGGCCGGGTGGGAGGTGTCCCCACCGCGGCGGGGCAGGTTTCCAACACGGTGGGTGACGTGTGGGGCTCCAGCTCGGTACCAGAGCCAGGGCCACCCACAGCAGGTCCCCGTGGGATCAGCGTGTGCCTGGGCCCCGGAGACCCCCCCCTGCACCGCTCCCTGGATGAGGAGGGAGGCACAAATCTTTGCAGGCTGGGAGATTTCTGCCTTCTCTTCTGCTTTGTGCTTCGCTGCCCGTGTAATTGCCTGCGAAATCCTGCTTGGATAATCTTTATTGCTGATGATGCACAAAGCTGAGAGCTCTACCCTGGGCCGTGTTTTCCTCCTCAGCCCGGTGCCCAGCGCTCCCTGCCCACAGCACGGGGGCACTGCTGTGCCCGCAGGGGTTAATTCCAGAACTGCTGTGCCGGAGGAAAGAGCCCCAATTAATAATTCAGAGGGAGAAGGAACCGGCTCCAACCTTCTGCCTTGCGGGTGGGGAGTGCCCGGGAGAGGAGCATCGTCCTCTGCAGCGAGGGCAGGGCGGTGACAAGGCTGTGACACCCCGGGCCCCTTCGTGCCTGTTGGTGTGTGGCTCCAGCTCTCCCTCCTCCATGCTCTGCATCCAGCACTTCTCCCATTCCCTGTGGTCTCTCTGCTGTTGGTCCCATCTCCAGCAGCACTTTGGGGAAAGGGGAACCCGCCTGTCCCCTTTAGGCTGGGCGTTGAGTTTTGGGTGCTACTCCCCAGCCCCACAGTGGGGTGACGGTGCTGGGAGGGGGAGGTGGGTGCCCACCAGCTCGGGGACAGGGTGCCAGGGCCACTGCCAGCCTCAGCCAAGCCATCCCAGTGCTGCCCAGTGGGACATGGGTTCCCGGAGCCGGCTCTGACGGAACAGTGGCCCTTTGCCGTCACGTGGGCCCGTGGCACAAGCCCTCCACTTTCCTTTTTTAGAATAGCTGGATCAGGGGAAAAAAATGTATTTTTGGAGTTTCATTTGCTTCAGCTTCAGAGTCTACTTCTTTCCCCCCCCCCCCTCCTTACTTTAAATGGGCCAAAGCCCCTGTTTCCTGAGCCCAGTGCTCGGGGATGAACAGCTCTGGAGCAGCTCCCTGGGGACTCTTCCCCTGGGTTGGCTGTTCCCAGGTGGTCCCTGTGCCCCTGGCAGGTCCCCACGGTGGCAGTGGTGCTGGGGACAGTCCTGAGAAGCTCTGGTCCCCTTTCTGCAGCAGCAAAACTCTCCACGGTGTGGGACCCCTCATCTCCCTCTCTGCCATTAATTAAGAGCCGGCAGGGCCGAGGTGGAGCCTGGCACCGAGCCCCACGGCTGCTCCCGGGCTCCCCAGTGGCTCCATGCCACCATCTAGGGGCAAACTGTGTCCCTGGTGGCTCAGCCACGGCCGTGGAGGTCTCGGCTGGGGGTCTCAGGCTGCGAGTGGGGGGCAGCACTATGGGTTGGGCTTCTATGGCTGCCCCAGTGCTCGGGTCCTCCGACCACCCTGGTGCCCTCACTGACACTCTCCCCTTCCAGATTCCTCCTCGTCTTCAGCTGCCTGGTGCTGTCGGTCTTCTCCACCATCCAGGAGCACCAGAAACTGGCCAACGAGTGCCTCTTCATCCTGGTAAGTGATGCAGGAGCAGGGCTGGGGCTTGAATTCCCCCTGCCCACATTGCACCCTGAAAGACTCGGACAAGATCACGGACAAAACTCCTCCGACCCTTTCCCAGCCCGGACGTCCCCGATGGTCCAACGATGGCAGCCTCTCTGGCACACTGGGGTGGAGCTGGGGGCGGCCTTGCTGGGGGTGTCCCCACGGCTCAGGGGGGGTCCATTCCGCCACAGTCCCTCTGTGCTGCAGAGAGGCATCAACCGCTGGAAAAGGCAGGGCAGGAGGGGCTAAAAAAGGCAACTTTCCCCCAAACTGTCAGAAAGAGCTGACGCGGGACTTCTCCCGAGTGATGGAGACTAAATTGGGAAGGTCCTTGTGACTTTCCTGCGAGTAAGCAGAACGGGGGCTTGTTCGTGCGAGAGGTAGGAGGACAATGCTGACGGTGGAGGAAAAGGACCCAGCTCAGAGCGAGGCAGGAGAGCCGGGACGCTCAGACAGCCCCGACGGCTGCGGCTCCCGTCTCACTGCCCCCCTTCCCCCGGGACGGCTCCCGTGGCCTTGGGGGGACACCACGCACCATTTCAGGTTGTGCCCCCCACAAAGCTGAGTCCCCCTGCCCCTCTCACCCCCCTGTGCCCCTCAGGAGTTCGTCATGATCGTGGTGTTCGGCATGGAGTACATCATCCGCGTCTGGGCCGCCGGCTGCTGCTGCCGCTACCGGGGCTGGCGGGGACGGTTCCGCTTCGCCAGGAAACCCTTCTGCGTTATAGGTACGGGGTTGTGCTGGTTTAAAGGTAAACCAGGGGAAAAGAACCCAACTCAAAAGAGAGATTACAAGTCAGAATAACAATTTAATGAAATAATACAATAAGTACGATTATGCAGGCAAACAATCGGTTTTAACCCACAAAACCTAAATATATAACCCAGCAGCCTGGGGCGTGAACAGAGTGGTGTCCATTGGGCCCCCCTGAGTCCAAAGTAAAAGGAGAGGGGAAAACCTGTTGATGAGAGTGGTGATTGCAGTCTGGTCGAGGGTGGTGGTCAAAGTCTGGTTGAAAGGTGGTGGTTGCAGTCCAGTCGAGAGTGGTGGTCTCAGTCTGGTTCAGAGTAGTGGTCTGTAGTCTGCTTGAGAGTGGTGGTTGCAGTCTGGTTGAGAGTAGTGGTCTGCAGTCTTCCTCTGGATCCCACGAGTGGTTAAAAAAGTCCCAAGACCCCAAGATTATATATCCTCCAGTTCAGGAAGGAATGCCCAGTGCCTCCCTCAGGGCGGGGAGTTCCACACTGGGTGTGAGGACAGGAGCACCCTCCTGTCTCACAGGCCTCTTAACACCCAGTTTACAGCCTGAGGAGTCAGGGCTACTCTGGGCAGAGGGTGTAAATGGTCTATTGAGAACAGTTTCTGGGAAATGGCATGGAAGGCTCTGGAATACAAAGTTTTGGGTTACACCGATGAACTGATCCTGGGATGGGGGTTTGGGGGATGTGGCAGCGTTTGGGAAAAGCCCCACGCCCCCGACCTTGGTTCCGCCCTGCCAGATTTCATCGTCTTCGTGGCCTCGGTGGCCATCATCGCCGCCGGCACCCAGGGCAACATCTTCGCCACGTCAGCGCTGCGGAGCATGCGCTTCCTGCAGATCCTGCGCATGGTGCGCATGGATCGCCGCGGCGGCACCTGGAAGCTGCTGGGCTCCGTCGTCTACGCCCACAGCAAGGTGAGGTGGCTCCATCCCGGCGCGGCCCCTGTACCCCCCAACCCGTGCCCCCCTCACCCCTTGTGCTCCTCACCCCCCAGGAGCTCATCACCGCCTGGTACATCGGCTTCCTCGTGCTCATCTTCGCCTCCTTCCTCGTCTACCTGGCCGAGAAAGACGCCAACGTGCAGTTCGCCACCTACGCCGACTCGCTGTGGTGGGGCACGGTAAGCTCGGCCCCCGCGGCCCCCCCCCCCAGCCCCGGGAGGGGGACGAGGAGGGTGGGATGGGGCCGCGTGGGGAGAGCTCCCTCCAGGCCTCGCCCTGCTCCGCCCCCGGGCAGGTCACGCTCACCACCATCGGCTACGGGGACAAGGCGCCGCAGACGTGGCTGGGCCGGATGCTGGCTGCCTGCTTCGCCCTGCTCGGCATCTCCTTCTTCGCCCTGCCCGCCGTGAGTAGGGCTGGGGACTGGGAGGGGGATCCCTGCGCCTCGTGCCCCGCAGGAATCGCGGAGGAAAGGGGCAAACCCACCCCTGTGCGGGTGCCAGCCTCTGCCGGCACCCACAGCCCCGTCCCCTCCCGTCCCCAGGGGATCCTGGGCTCCGGCTTCGCCCTCAAAGTGCAGGAGCAGCACCGGCAGAAGCACTTCGAGAAGAGGAGGACTCCGGCGGCAAACCTGATCCAGGTGGTGCAGGGCTGGAGTGTCCTGCCCCGTCCCTTCCCAGGAATGCTCTGCTGTGCCCCCTCCTCTCCTCTGCCTGCCCCTGCCTGCTGCAGGGAGCACCCACACACCGGACTCCATGTCCAACACTTGGCTCCTTTGGGCTGGGCTCTGTGGTGGCCAGGGGGGGTGGAGGGGTGGGCAGGGGGGTCTCACCTCCTGACTGACCCCGATTCCCATGGTCTCTCTCCCTGCAGGCTGCCTGGCGCCTGTACTCCACCGACATCAGCCGGGCGTACCTGACGGCCACGTGGTGTTACTATGACAGCCTGCTGCCCACCTTCAGGTAGGCAGGGCAGGGGGCAAGGGCTGGGGGGCTCCCGGGGGGGTCTCTGTGAGGATGAGCAGCCTGGGAGGCCAGGAGGGACCATGTGGAGCCGCCGAGGGCTCAGTGGGGTCGAGCAGCACGGACACTTTCCTGAGCCCTGGATCGCTGGAGCACAGCGTCTGCTGGAGTGTCCAGCACCCTCCTCCACCCTCATCATCCTCACAGCACCCGGCACTCATCCCACCCTCTCGCCCCATCCATAGCCTTCCTCCAACACCTCCGTGGGGAACAGGACGGTGTCACCCACCACAGGGAGCCCCCGTGGCTGGGGACATGGAGCTGCAGCCGGATGGGAACCGGCTCCGAGTGTGGACCCAGATGGACATGGCAGGATCCAGTGGGAGCCCCGTGGCCCGTCCCTGCAGAGTTCTCCCTCCCATGGCCCCTGGGATGTAGTTGGGCGGATCAAAGAACCTCCAAAGCTTTTCCAGACTCTCTGTGTGTCCCCATCAACCCGAGCTCACCAGGGTTTGCCACCCCTGTGCCTCACCCCTGCCTGTGCATCCTGCCCTGCTCCACCCATGTGTTCCTTTGCAGGGAAAAATTCATTCTTCTTCTGCTCCACTTTTTGTTTTTCCAAAGACAGGGCTCTTAACAGCCCCAACAGCGAGTCCCTCTGGTCCCTGCCCGAGGAGATGCAGCTTCCTGAGCATCACCATGGAGCCTGGGATCATGGGGGGCTTCACCTGCTGGGCCAGGAGCCACTTTCCCTGCAGTGGGGAGCTGAGATAGAGCCAGACTCAATCTCTGTTGGATCTGAGCTTTTCCCTCTTGGCTACTCCAGCTGTGCCCAGACCCCTGGATCTGATGGTGGCAGGTTCCTGTGTCCCCATCCAAGGGGTGTCCTGCCTGTCCCTGCCTGACCCATCCCTCTCAGCACAGGTCCAACCCCTCCTCTCTGTGGGACCCTATCCCAGCTCCCCATCCCCATCCCCATCCCCTCCAAATGCCTCATCCTGCTGATAAGAAACTATCTTTTGAACAAAAATGTTGATTTTTTTTTTTTTTCTTCTTGTTTTGCCCTGGTTTTGCTTTGGTTTGTGCTCAGGAGGACCCGGCGCTGCTCAGCCTTGGTTTGCTTTGGAAAATTTAATTTCTCCTTGTTTTTATTTCACCCCAACCTCAGAGAGCTGGTACTTATGTTTGAGCACTTGCACCGAGTTCGCAACGGAGGATTTAGGAACTCAGAGGTGAAAAAATTGCCCGACAGAGCCCCACCAACTTACCTCTCCTTCACCCCTGCCCAGAAAAGCCTGGCCACGTGTTCAGGGGAAAGGTAGGAGGGGGCAGCCCCCGTGTTCTCCCTCCTCTCTGCTCTGTCTCCTCTGCTCCTCTGTGTCCTCCTGCGATGCCATCACTGCCACACCGGACCCCAGCAGTGCCCACCACCCCAAACTGACCCTGCTCCCTGCTCAGGGCCCTGCTGGGAGTCCATCCTGCTCCTGACACTGCTTCCAGCACTGCTCCCTGCTCCAGAGTGGGCATGTTTGGTCCTCAAGGACAGACTCTGGGCTGTTGTATCTTTGGGAAGCCCCTTTTTTATGTGGCTGCGGCACGGGGACCTGGCACAGGGGAACCAACCGTGGCAGAGAACACCCTGGCAGAGGCAGCGCTGCCATGTTGTGGGGATGGGGCCGTGTGGCCTCGCTGCAGAGCCGGGCAAGGAGCAAAACCCAGAGCCTGTGGTGTGAGAAGGGCTGCCCGTGCCCCTGGCAGTGGGAGCAGCGATGCTGAGCTGCCCCAGTGCCCACCAGAAGAGGCAGGAGGGGGTCAGGGCTGCCGTGCTGCTGATGGCAGCTGCTCTGGCCCGTGTCCCCGGTCCCCTTGGTTGAAGAGCATCCTGGAGACCCCGGTGTGCCACGGTGGCTGCTGGCCAACCACCCAGAGCACTGGCACATTGGCACAGGGCCCTGGGCCAGCAGCAGGGTGAGGTGAGGGGAGGCACCGTGCCTCAGTGTCCCCTGTGCTGCCAGAAGTGGCACAGTGTGGGTGAGTTTGGGCTCGGGGGGGCTCCCTTGCAGCAGCACCAGCCTGGGTTCCGTGTCCCAGTGACCAGGGGAAGGACTGCACCCCCCCTCCGGGGGGCCCGAGCCCCCCCATCTCCTCCGCGAGCATCACCTCTCATAACATCTCATCTTCTCTCTCTCCTCCCCTCTCCTGCTCACCCCCCTCCTCTCCATCCCACAAACCTCCCGTGCCCCCCCCCAAGCTGGAAGGAGGAGGACGTGCCGCCCCACAGGTGTTTACGGCTCAGGTAACGCTGGCCCCCGGCGGAGGGCGGGGAGCGGGGTTCGCGGGGTCACCCACGCCCCGTCCCAGCGCTCGGCACCGCGCGCCGTCACCGAATCCTCCCGGCAGAGCCGCGGAACCGGAGCAGGCGCCGTGTTTATGCAGGACCTACACAAACAATGCCGCCTGCCCGGCAGAGGCGGTACCGCGGGGCTGGAGCAGCGGGAGATGCTCAGCGGTGGCATTTCTGGACCCTGTGCCCACGGGTCCGGGGGGTTGGGAATGTGGCCCGGGATGCTGCGCTCCCCCCCCCCCACGGCCACGGCTGACTCTCTTTTCTCCTGTGTCTCTGCCCTGACCCTCCAGCCCCATCTTTAGTGGTAAGAGGAGGCTCTTGCAGACGTGGGGCACGTGGAGACGGAGGTACCGTGTCCTTGCTGCCTGCCCGCGCTGGCTGCCTGCCCGTCCCGGCGGAGAGTGGGGCCGGGAAGGGTGGGATGCATGGTGCTCCGTGCCTGGATGCCTGCTGACTGCAGCGTGGGGAGGGCTGGGGAGCGAGGCAGAGCAGGGGGAGGCCAAAGGGGGGGGTCCTTCTGCAGGGCAGGGGGGTCTGTGCATGACCTGGGCCCAGCGGTCTCTCCCCGCTGTCCCCCACCGGCTCCCACAGCAGCCTTGCCTCAGTTTCCCCCTCGTGCATCATGGATGGGGATGCCAAATCCAACCAACTGATGCACCCGGATTGACCCCATCCCACCCCTGTCCTGCAGCCTGGTCTCTCAGGACACAGCCATTCCCATCCTCCGGACCAGCAGCCTGCATGGGGAAGGGCTCTACCCCTGCCTCACCCTGCCTGTACCCCTGCCTTGCCCTGTGACTCCTGGCCCAGGAAATGCAGGAGTCTCCCCAGGCGCTGGGGTTCCATGGATCCTGTCCTGCAGCATGGGTGGGATTTGCTCCTTGTCCTCCCTGCCTTTGAAGTCCTGCCCTGTGCATCCACTTGGCCTCCCAAGGCTCAAGCTGTGCTTGGGGTCCCGGATCGTGCAAAAGGCAGCATTCAGGGGGTGTTTTTGTGTAGGTCCTACATAAATGATGCCTGGTGTTTCCCCCCAGTCCACTGGAGTGGCTGGTTTTGGGAGCAGAGCTCATGTTAGGGCAGGAGCAGAGCCTGGATTAGGTGGTGCAGCCTGGAGGAGGAGGAGGGTGCCCGGGATGCCCTGTGCCAGAGGGGATGGAGCAGGAGCAGGGCTGCTCCCACCAGCCTCTGTCAGTGACTCTGCCACATGTCCCCCACTGCCACACCTGTCTGTCCCCACTCTCCCTGTCTGTCTGTCACCTCCTTTCTCTGCTCTTGGCACAAAAAAAAAAAAAGGTGTTCAGAGGAGTTAAACCCCAGAGCTGCCCCCGCCGTGGTACCGCCTGCTCCTGGCCTGGCTCGTGCCCGTCGTGTGCCGGGGGGCTCTCCATGAGCTCAGCACGGCTACCCCCGCCACGGTGGGCACCACGTGTGCCCGCTGTCCCCTTCCCCACCCCCCGGTGACGCCGCCTCCCCCCCGCCCCCCACTGTCCCTTCCACAGCAACAAGATGGGGCTCAAGGAGCGGATCTGGCTGAGCAGCTCCCAGCGGCAGGGCAGCCGCGGCCGCCAGCAGCTGGGGCCCCCCCTGCACCGCTCCCCCAGCACCGAGGACGTGCCCGAGGCCACCAGCCCCACCAAGGTGCAGAAGAGCTGGAGCTTCAACGACCGCACCCGCTTCCGCGCCTCCCTGAGGCTCAAGCCACGGACCCCGGTTGAGGGTGAGCCCTGGGACTGCTGGAGCTGTCTGGGACATGCTGGGGGGGCTGCAGGAGTTTTGGGGGGGCAGCCGTGGGTCTCTGCCATCCACCTGCTCTTGGCACCCGCAGCCGACTGCCCTCCAGAGGACAGCGGCGAGGAGAAGGGCTCCCACTGCGACCTGACCTTCGAGGACATCATGCCAGCGGTGAAGACCCTCATCCGGGCTGTCAGGTGAGACCGTCCCCTCTCACGCCCCCTGGGCACCACCCCATCCCTCCCCAGTGCCCCACAGCCAGCCCAGGTGTCCCTGCAGGATCCTGAAGTTCCTGGTGGCCAAGAGGAAGTTCAAGGAGACGCTGCGTCCCTACGACGTCAAGGACGTCATCGAGCAGTACTCGGCCGGGCACCTGGACATGCTGGGCAGGATCAAGAGCCTGCAGACACGGTGAGGTGCCCTGGAGCTGGTGGGGTTCCCTGGGTCTCCCACCATGAGATGAGGTGCTGGCCCATCGCTGTGGGTGGGACACGTTCCCAGAGCTCTCTCCCCGTCCCCTGTGGCCTCACACACCCTCAGGAGTGACGGGCCCTGTCCCTTCCTTCCCTGCCAGCGTGGACCAGATCATGGGCAGGGGGGCCCTGGCTGTGGACAAGAAGGTGAGGGAGAAGGGGGAGAAGCCGGTGCTGGAGATGGAGCTGGTGGACGAGCTCAGCATGATGGGGCGCGTGGTCAAAGTGGAGCGGCAGGTCAGGAGGGGACACCCCCAGGGAATGTGCCCCCGTCCCTTTGGCACCCGTGGGATGGGGGAACCGGGATTCCCGTGTCCCCTCCCGCGGGGGGGAGACCGGCTCAGCCCCGCCCTGCCCACCCTACAGGTGCAATCCATCGAGCACAAGCTGGACCTGCTGCTCGGCCTCTACTCCCAGTGCCTCCGCAAGGGCTCCACGAACTCCTTCAGCCTGGCAGCCGTGCGGGTGCCGCCCTGCGAGCCCGACATCACCTCCGACTACCACAGCCCCGTGGACCACGAGGACATCTCGGCCTCCGCCCAGACCCTCAACATCTCCAGGTCGGCCAGTGCCAACATGGACTGAGCGGGAGGCAGCGGGATGGATCCTGCCCACGCGGGATGGGGTGCTGGGAGCGCCGTGGCACCGCCAGCCCTGCCCAGCCCTGTTCCTCGCCGTGTCACTTGAGCCAAGTCTTCCTCTGCGGGGGCACGGCTGCAATGGGGTGCACAGCTTCCTCTGGGGGCACAGTGGGAGCCCATGGCATGGCCAGACCACGCTCCTGGGATGCTCCTGCCCTTCCTGGGGTATGAGACACCCCCTGCCAGCTCCTGGGGCCCTGAGTGCTCCCCAGCCAAGGTGGGGAATGCTCCAAGCTGGCCCAGTCTCCTGGGGTTTGGTTCGTACCCCAGTCCCAGCTCTCAGGACATGTCCAGCTCCCCAGTGGGGTCCTGCCTGGTCCCCCCCGGAACCGAGCTGGGATCAGCACCAGCTATGCAAGGTCCCACCTCCCTTCTGCTGCCAGTGCCGAGCGGGGCTGTGGGGGCACAGCCCAGTGTGGTTTGACCTGCATCGCTTGGGGTCAGGGCAGCAGCGGGGCCCCCCCAGTTTGGGGAGTGGGGGTCTGTCCCCCCTCACTGGGCTGCACCTCTCTAGAAGCACAGCAGAGCCTTCTGCCTGCCCGTGCATGCTCCCAGGGCAATATATATATAGAAGATATATATATATATATATTTATGCAATAATGTCTTAATATGCAACACCCCCAGGAAGAGCAACCTGAGGGGACATAGGCAATAAGCAACCCCCCTGCCAGCTCACAGGGCTGGATCCTGATGCCTGTGGGGGCCCTGGAGGTCCTGGGGGCTTGGGGCCAGGTGAAAAACCTTCCCCCAAGGGTGGCCCTGTTGCTGTGAAGCTGGGCAGGGGCTGTGGAGGAGGCAGGGATGCAGGCACAGGCGCTGTCCCCAAGGAGCATCCCTCCCTCTCCTGCTCTTGCTTAGAGGATTCCCTCCCTGCCGGGTCCTGCGGTGCTCAGTTTGTCCCTCCCCATGTCCCTGTCCCCTCCGTGGTCCGGGGAGCATGGGCCGGGCCTGGGGGGGTGACTGCCTGGTGGGGACAGGGGGATCTCCTTGCATGTCACCTGCAGCAGAGCCACAGCAGCTCCTGTGCTGCTCCAGTCCCAGTCCTGGGGCTGGTTTCCAGTCCAGCTGGGCTGGAAGCGATTGTGGTCGTGCCAAAGTTTGCCAGGCTGGAGCTGGCGGCAGCTCCTGCCCAGCCAGGGGTCCTGGGGGGGTGACACCCACGGTGAGGGATCTGCCCTGGGCTGGCAGGATCCCACCCATCCCCTCGCTGCCGGTGCAGCCCCTCCCTGGGCTTCGGACCGTGGGATTTGCATCCTTGCCCGGCCGTGCCTCTGCTCCTGAGAGTGGGGACCCCTGACCCTGCTCATTTTCCGGCCTCCTTAGTGCATGTGGCCAGCACGGGCCGTGCCAGAGCTGCTTGCAGCCCCCCCACCTTGCTCCTGCACCGCCCTGGCCCCCTCCCCTCGCCCCGGGGGTGGGACACGAGGGGAGGGTGGGGTGCCGGGGGTGGGTGCCGGGGGGGTGCCTGGCCGCGGGGTGAGGGTGCATGTGACAGCTTTGCCCGCAGCCGCACGCAGGAATTAACTCGTAGGACCCTCCCCCGGGGCTGGCTGGTCCCCGCAGACCTCCCGAGCCAGCGGTAGTTACCTCACTTGATTAACTTATTAACTTATTTGTTTCATTAAAATTTGGAGTAGAGGCTGCCTTGCCTGCTGCCGACTCTCTCCCGGCTCTCCCGAGAGGTGGCACTCCAGCCCCGCCGCCGAGCCGTGGCCGGGGGACAGGAGCGTCCTGCCAGGGGACAGGAGCGTCCTGCCAGGGGACACGGGCGCCCGGCCAGGGAACAGAGGCATCCGGCCGCCTCCCTGACCCCCTGGGGCTCCCCGTGAGCTGCACCAGCCCCCCCCCCCGCAGTGGGATCGGGGCCCCGGCTCCAGCTCGATCGCCCTCCTCAGCTCCGTCACACCGCGTGCCTGGGGGGTGCGGGCCTGATGCCACGGCAGAGGGGGCCCGTGCCCTGCTTTTGGCACCTCGTGGGGTCGCTGTGCCCCATCTGCCTCTTTGGAAATATCACAGTGTGCCCCCTCCTCAAAGGGGATGACTCTGTGATGTCCCCAGAGCCATTCCAGGGAGGTGAGGGTGCGAGCCCCCTTCCCCAGGAGACCCCAGGGGACAGCGAAGCCTTGGCCCCATCCCTGCGTGCTGGCACCCTACAGAAAACAAGTCCCCCAGCCTGCAATGTCAGGGGGCTGGGGAGGCCCCTTCCCGTGCCTCTGGCTGGGGAGGAAGCCGGGGCTGGCTGCAGGTCAGTCCCTGCCTTTCCTGGCTGCTTCTTGCCAAGAAATTTGCTCCTGGATCGTCTTGGAGCACTGCAGAGGCCAGCACCTCCCTGCCCCGACCATGCCGGCCCCACTGCCCCCAGAGCTGCCCCAGCCTGCTGGGACAGGGGTCTCAGGGTGACCCCGATACCTGGATTCCATGGACTGCCCCGTGTGTGGGGCACAGTCCCTGGGGTTTGCCTTTGGGGGGGATCCAGGATGCGACAGCACCCTGAAAACCACGGTGGCACTTCACCGGCCTCTCCCGTCATTCCCAGCCAGCTGAGTGGCTTTCCCGGGTGGGTTTGGAGGGAGGCATCCCTCCAACAGTGGGATCAACACCCTGCCATGGGCTGTGCATCGCTGGGTGCTCCCCCTGCACCCCACGGGGGTGGCAGTGGGTGCAGCTCAGCAGAGCCTCTGTGTGTCTGTGCTGCTCCCCACCTGGCTGTGGGGCTTTTCCACGGCTCTGTGGGGTGGGGATGGGGTCCTGGGACCTGCACCCTCCCCCAGCATGGCTGGAGGTGGTGGCAAAGGCAGGGCGGGCGGGCGTGCCAGCCCGTGGCACTCGGCTCTGCCTCCCGCGATCACATGGGTCCAAGGTGCCCCGGCAGGACTTTGTCCCCCTCCACTGGGTCTGCCCCGCGTGTGCCAGAGGCTGCCACTCCCCGGAGAGGGGACACACGTGAGGGAGGACGCCAGCGTCAGAGGGACACGGGGAGCCGTGACCCCGCGGTGCCAGCTGGCTGCATCCCGCCGGAGCGACGCTTGGCAGGCGGAGCAAAGCCCCGGGAAGGGGGTGAGGGGGTGCTCCAAACACTTGGACTTGTCGCCGCTCCCGCCTCCGCACACCAGCTCTTATCAGCTGGCGGGGGGGCAGCGCTGTCACGGGGATGGGAAGGGGCCAGCTGTTCCCGCAGCACCCCACGGCGTCCTGCGGGCTGTGCCAGGGGGCTGACGGGGGAAAGAAGGACGGGCAGCGGCGGTCTGGGATGTCCTTTGTGCCAGTGGCTCTGCTTTGTTCCCGAGGGTCTTGGGGAATTTGTGAGTCACTGCGGATTCCTCTCTGTCCAGTCATGGAGCAAGTGTGCTTGGAGACAGCCGGACTCTGGGCTGGACGCAGTTCCTTCCTGCGGCGCTCCAGCCCCTGCGCTGCCCAAGGACACATTTACAGGAAAAGGCTCTGGCCGCGCAGCCAGGGCGGAGGGGGGGGATGTCCCTGTGGATGGGGCTCCCGCAGGACCCTCGTTCGGGCACCCAGCGCTCCCTGGGGCACCCAGCCCTCTTTCCCAGTGGGATTTGGTGCTCCCCGTGCGTGGATACATGGGGTGAAGCACACCCTGAGCACAGCACCCGCCCCAGGGCTCAGCCAGGAGCCCTCCAGCCACGGCCACGCAGGGAACCTCGCTCCCCCCGCGGTGCTCCCGTCCTGGCTGCCACGAGGCATCTTCGAGGAATCCCTCGGCAGCGCCGGGAGGTGCTCCCGGCGGGGCAGGGACAGCAGGAGCCCCGGCGTGGGTGGCTGGAGCCCCGCAGCAGGTGCTGGTGCTGCGGAGGGAACCAAAGCCTGGGGGGTGGCCAAGACTCCCCGTCCCCGGTCCCCCGAGCACAGGGCTGGGTGCTGGCAGCGGGGACAGGGGGATTGCTCCGAGTGACACCGACTCCGTGCCCTGGGCTGTGACGGGGTGTCCCTGTCTTGCTCGTATCCAGCTTCCCGCTGGAAGGGGGAGGCACGCAACCCTTTCCTCTCTGTTCCCGTTCTCTCCACGCACCTTGCCCCGGAATGGGGAAATCCCCCACGATGGATCCCCGGGAACCCCCTGGACGGAGCAGGGAGTGCTGGAAGGGCAGCCGGGACCCCCCATTTTGCGAGGGCACCGGCGGGGAGTGGGAGGCACGGGGAGGGGATCAGGATCAGGATCCGGGGAGACCCCGACCCCGCGGGCACGGAGGTGTCGTCGGGGACCCCGGGCGGGGGGGCGACCAGTCCGGGGCTCTGTCGCCCGTCCCGCCGGGAGCCCCGGGCCCGACCCCCGCCCCGCTGCGCTCCGCCCCGGCCCAGCCGGTCGCGGCTGCCCCGGCGCCTCCCCCGGCGCCCCCCCGGCCGGGGCGCGGTTATAAGGAGCGGCGGGGCCGCGGCGGCGGCGGAGCGGAGCGGCGGGCGCGGCAGGTACGGGACCGGGAGGGGACGCTGGGGACCCGGGTGCGAGGGGTGGGGTGGGGTGGGGAGAGGGGGGTCCTGCCCCATAAGATCCGCGCGAGACCCTCGGATCGGATCCCCCACCCCTCTCGCGGGGACCCCCCGCGTCGGGCGCGGCAGGTACGGCCCGGGGACGGAACGGGACGGGACGGGCCCGGGTGGGAGGGGGGGTCCTTCCCAGTGCCGGATTGCCCTCCTCCCGCCACTTTCAGGGTCCTCGTCGCTCCCCTCGGCCCCGCGGGCTGAGACCTGGGAGCTCATCGCACTGCCCGCGATGGGAACTGGGATTGGGGTTGGGAACAGGATCCGGGCACCCCCCCCGGGTGTCCTGAGGAGCCCCATCCCGCGGGATTTTTGCTCTTGGAGCAGGTGGTTAAGGTGTGGGTGGGCACGGGGCCCCTCAGATGCCCAGGAGTGGGCACCTGAGGGCAGATGGTGTTTTGGGGGTTGTGGGAAACCCTGAGCTGTGTGGTCTCAAGGGGAGTTACAAAACCTGAATGTTTTGAGCGTCCTGGGGGAGGGCAGGGCGGGGACTCGGAGGGGGGGGTTATGACCCAGCGGGACGGGTGGGTGCGGAGCGCAGGACCCCCGTGCCCTCAGTGCCCTCCCTCCGCAGCGGTGCCGGCGTGGGGACATGCCCGGGGACATGCGCCCGCTGCGGGCCCTGCTGTGCCTCTGGCTGGTGGCCCGGGCAGCCCTGGGCTCCCGGGTCCGCACCCGCCGGGAGCTGGGCCCCGGCTTGTACCAGAACGGGGTCTACGACGCCGGGGGGGCCTACTGCCAGCGGGGGGACGTCTGCTGCCGCGGCCGCGACGACGGCTGCACAGTGCCCTACCACGACACCCTCTGCTACTGCGACCTCTTCTGCAACCGCACCGTCTCCGACTGCTGTCCCGACTTCTGGGAATACTGCCTGGGCATCCCGGCCCCCTTCCCCAAAGCTCAAGGTGAGGCGTGCCCAGCCCAGCCGGGCAGGGGTCTGTGGGTGCTGGGGGGCAGCCCTGGGGTGCCCCATGTGCTGTGTGATGCTGCCGGTGCTCC